TGTAATGCAAATATTAATATAAAAGTTTTCTGGGGATGCGAATAAAGAAAAACAAGCGATAAAAATAACCAGTGAAACAGCTGAGAATTTATTTTTTTATTATTTATTTTTATATATACAAGAAGGTACATTGGGTTTGTGAGAATACATTGGATAGTACAGTATTTACATTCTTGTAAAGCCACTAGTACGCGCAGCGTTTCGGGCAGGTCCTTAATCTAGCAGATAATCTTAAGTAGGTAATTTCAATCAGAATGGATAAATGATAGATACATTTCAAGAGAAAAATGAGATGAGAGAGATAGGTAAGTATATTAAAGCACATTGTTATATTAAAGCTCTGATTGATTACATTGACAGCTTGATTAGTAATTTAAACAAGATTAATAGACACCATACAGCAGATTGACAGCACATATAAGACAGCAATGATCACAATGGTAAAGATGTTCAGATTGGGTACATAAAGATTGGGGGACTGGGTAGCAAAAGATACAGATAAAAAAGATTTATAAACACCATACAACAGATTGGCAGCACATATAAGACAGCAATGATCACAATGGTAAAGATGTTCAAATTGGGAACATAAAGGTTGGGAGATTGGGTAGCAAGTGATACAGTGCAATTTTAAGGCAAAAAGTGAAAAACTATGAAGATGAAATTAAGTACTTTTTAGTATTGATTTTGAATGATGTAAAAGTTGGACAGCTTTTCAATTCAGTAGGGAGTGAGTTCCATAAACTGGGTCCCTTTATTTGCATAGTGTTTACACAGATTAAGTTTAACTCTGGGGATATCAAAGAGATATTTATTTCTGGTGTGGTGATAATGGGTCCTATTACATCTGTCCAGGAAGAGTTTCAGACAAGGATTTGCATTTAAGAACAGGGTTTTGTAAATGTAGTTGACACAAGAGAATTTGTGGAGTGAGATTATGTTTAGCATGTTTAGGGAGTTAAACAAGGGGGCTGTGTGTTGTCTGAAAGCAGAATTTGATATTATTCTGATAGCAGATTTTTGCTGGGTGATGATGGACTTGAGGTGGTTTGCAGTGGTTGAACCCCATGCACAGATACCATAGTTGAGATAGGGATAGTGCATAATAGAGATTAGTGCATAATATAGAGAGATGATAACAGAGTTAGGAACATAATATCTGATTTTGGAGAGTATACCAACTGTTTTAGAGACTTTCTTAGTTGTGTGTTGTATGTGGGTACTGAAGTTGAGTCTCTTGTCTAGGAATATGCCAAGAAACTTTCCATCATTTTTATTACTAATGTTTACATTGTCAATCTGAAGCTGAATTGCATTTGTAGATTTGCTTCCAAATAGGATGTAGTAGGTCTTTTCTATGTTAAGTGTTAGTTTGTTGGTTGACATCCATAAGTGGACTTTTTTTAGTTCATTATTAACAACATCATTTAGTGTATGTGGGTTGGGGTTGGAGTAGATGGGGGTAGTATCATCAGCAAACAAAATAGGTTTCAGAATGTTAGAGACATTAGGCAGATCATTAATGTATATAAGAAATAGAAGAGGTCCCAAGAATAAATCGGGAAGTGTTGGCAAACCGACCATCAGGCGTTGACAAGTGCCAGACCCAAACTCACAGTCCCTCCACACAGTGAAACAATAAATATTCACTTATTTCAGTATTTTTCTTATCTGCATACAAATTAATAATTCTATAATGATATATTTTTGTGCATAGGCAGGTATGACCATTTCACCATAGCCGCTGTCTAATGGTTAAGAAATATCAAAAGCAAACACCAAGCCAGGGGAGACTGGGTGAACTGGCACCAAGCCAGGGGAGACTGGGTGAACTGGCACCAAGCCAGGGGAGACTGGGTGAACTGGCACCAAGCCAGGGGAGACTGGGTGAACTGGCACCAAGCCAGGGGAGACTGGGTGAACTGGCACCAAGCCAGGGGAGACTGGGTGAACTGGCACCAAGCCAGGGGAGACTGGGTGAACTGGCACCAAGCCAGGGGAGACTGGGTGAACTGGCACCAAGCCAGGGGAGACTGGGTGAACTGGCACCAAGCCAGGGGAGACTGGGTGAACTGGCACCAAGCCAGGGGAGACTGGGTGAACTGGCACCAAGCCAGGGGAGACTGGGTGAACTGGCACCAAGCCAGGGGAGACTGGGTGAACTGGCACCAAGCCAGGGGAGACTGGGTGAACTGGCACCAAGCCAGGGGAGACTGGGTGAACTGGCACCAAGCCAGGGGAGACTGGGTGAACTGGCACCAAGCCAGGGGAGACTGGGTGAACTGGCACCAAGCCAGGGGAGACTGGGTGAACTGGCACCAAGCCAGGGGAGACTGGGTGAACTGGCACCAAGCCAGGGGAGACTGGGTGAACTGGCACCAAGCCAGGGGAGACTGGGTGAACTGGCACCAAGCCAGGGGAGACTGGGTGAACTGGCACCAAGCCAGGGGAGACTGGGTGAACTGGCACCAAGCCAGGGGAGACTGGGTGAACTGGCACCAAGCCAGGGGAGACTGGGTGAACTGGCACCAAGCCAGGGGAGACTGGGTGAACTGGCACCAAGCCAGGGGAGACTGGGTGAACTGGCACCAAGCCAGGGGAGACTGGGTGAACTGGCACCAAGCCAGGGGAGACTGGGTGAACTGGCACCAAGCCAGGGGAGACTGGGTGAACTGGCACCAAGCCAGGGGAGACTGGGTGAACTGGCACCAAGCCAGGGGAGACTGGGTGAACTGGCACCAAGCCAGGGGAGACTGGGTGAACTGGCACCAAGCCAGGGGAGACTGGGTGAACTGGCACCAAGCCAGGGGAGACTGGGTGAACTGGCACCAAGCCAGGGGAGACTGGGTGAACTGGCACCAAGCCAGGGGAGACTGGGTGAACTGGCACCAAGCCAGGGGAGACTGGGTGAACTGGCACCAAGCCAGGGGAGACTGGGTGAACTGGCACCAAGCCAGGGGAGACTGGGTGAACTGGCACCAAGCCAGGGGAGACTGGGTGAACTGGCACCAAGCCAGGGGAGACTGGGTGAACTGGCACCAAGCCAGGGGAGACTGGGTGAACTGGCACCAAGCCAGGGGAGACTGGGTGAACTGGCACCAAGCCAGGGGAGACTGGGTGAACTGGCACCAAGCCAGGGGAGACTGGGTGAACTGGCACCAAGCCAGGGGAGACTGGGTGAACTGGCACCAAGCCAGGGGAGACTGGGTGAACTGGCACCAAGCCAGGGGAGACTGGGTGAACTGGCACCAAGCCAGGGGAGACTGGGTGAACTGGCACCAAGCCAGGGGAGACTGGGTGAACTGGCACCAAGCCAGGGGAGACTGGGTGAACTGGCACCAAGCCAGGGGAGACTGGGTGAACTGGCACCAAGCCAGGGGAGACTGGGTGAACTGGCACCAAGCCAGGGGAGACTGGGTGAACTGGCACCAAGCCAGGGGAGACTGGGTGAACTGGCACCAAGCCAGGGGAGACTGGGTGAACTGGCACCAAGCCAGGGGAGACTGGGTGAACTGGCACCAAGCCAGGGGAGACTGGGTGAACTGGCACCAAGCCAGGGGAGACTGGGTGAACTGGCACCAAGCCAGGGGAGACTGGGTGAACTGGCACCAAGCCAGGGGAGACTGGGTGAACTGGCACCAAGCCAGGGGAGACTGGGTGAACTGGCACCAAGCCAGGGGAGACTGGGTGAACTGGCACCAAGCCAGGGGAGACTGGGTGAACTGGCACCAAGCCAGGGGAGACTGGGTGAACTGGCACCAAGCCAGGGGAGACTGGGTGAACTGGCACCAAGCCAGGGGAGACTGGGTGAACTGGCACCAAGCCAGGGGAGACTGGGTGAACTGGCACCAAGCCAGGGGAGACTGGGTGAACTGGCACCAAGCCAGGGGAGACTGGGTGAACTGGCACCAAGCCAGGGGAGACTGGGTGAACTGGCACCAAGCCAGGGGAGACTGGGTGAACTGGCACCAAGCCAGGGGAGACTGGGTGAACTGGCACCAAGCCAGGGGAGACTGGGTGAACTGGCACCAAGCCAGGGGAGACTGGGTGAACTGGCACCAAGCCAGGGGAGACTGGGTGAACTGGCACCAAGCCAGGGGAGACTGGGTGAACTGGCACCAAGCCAGGGGAGACTGGGTGAACTGGCACCAAGCCAGGGGAGACTGGGTGAACTGGCACCAAGCCAGGGGAGACTGGGTGAACTGGCACCAAGCCAGGGGAGACTGGGTGAACTGGCACCAAGCCAGTTTATGTGCAGTGGCTACTTATGTGCAGTGGCTAAAGAAAAAATAACTTCAGCTTCAAACAAATTTTGATACTCTATTATAAAGTCAAGTACATAAATACTAATTTATGTACTTGACATTTATTCATGTATTTTTTGTTATAACTACAACATCAAGTGGAACATCATTATATAAAAAGACCGGTTGTTACATTAGCTAAATACCTGCCTACTGTTGTAAATTTACTTGTTAGACTTAGCAGTTTAAATAAAAACAGGTAGAATTTTTTATTGTTTTATTCTAGGATTTAAACTTCAGAGTGAGGAATTACTTATATAAATAATGTTGATTCCAGAAGTAACTCCTGCCTTAGTACCAACCATATGCCATATGTACCAACTATACATATGGCGGCTACTAAGGATTGGTACAGTGACCCGTGTTAGTAATATGACGGACCATGCACATGATACCGGCAGTGGTCTCCCAGAGTGCTGCTAATGTTAGTCTCTGAATGAAGAAGTCCATATCTCCCTTTATAAGGGAGATCAATGGTATATATGAACCAATTGTGTGCCTCGGGTGCCAAGTCTTCAGAGGTTAGACCGTACAGTGGTCCTTATTCGCCCATCTCATATTTCATGTGTCCACGAGACGTATAGCTCATGGCATGAGCAAATACCATAGCCAGAACTTCGTGTTCATGGATGTTTGCTGGAGGAATGTCATTCCGCAACACAGGATAAACGATACACTGGCCATAGCCTCGGAAAGCTATGAACAGGTCAATGCCACCCACTGTTTCCATGATTGCTTGGAGACCTTGGGTTTCTGGTTCAGTGAAGGGTGTGACGCCTTTGTAAGTCTCACTACACTGTCGAATGTAGGGCTGAAGCTCCATTCCAAGTCCAAGTCACGGATCAGGCTCACGCCTTTGCACCCTCTATCAAGGAGGGTCTGGCGATTCTTTCTCCACAGCCTAGAGTAAACCATAATGTTAGAATCATGACAATGAAATTTTTTTTAGAAACTAACCGTGAGGTTGGTATTATTTCCCATTATAAACTGCTATATATATTATCTCATTACTAGTCACGACTTGGGATACACACGCTTCTGGGCAATAATGTGCAGAGTGTATTGTAAAACTGCAGGGGGTCTTCTATGACGTGTTCACTGTGCGAGGTGGTGTGGCATGAACACTGCACGGTGTTGCATATCATGTACACTGTTGACTGACCTAGCACTCTCGGAGGTGAAGGTGTAATGATAGCCGTCCGGGTTGACGACAGGCACGATGTACCACTCCGTCCTCTTCAGCAGGTCTCGCCAAGACTCGTCTGTAATCAGCAGGTTCAGGATATACATAGAGACGGCAGGAGAGATCCATTCACGAGCATGGATACCTGAAACAACGGGATAGAGATTGGGAAATAAATAGCTATTATTTCATATTGTTATATACATATATTGTTATAATAATTGTTATATACACAATTACAATTATTATTGCTAACTCTATTGGCTATTCAGGACGAACAAGCTCCTCTCTCTTACCAGTTTCGATCCAGATCTTTGTCTTGGGTTCATCGGAGACTGTGACTTTAATCACCAGGACTTGGCGCCCCTCCTCCGTGGTGGCTGCCGTTAGCACCTGCACGAAGCAGTGGCGTGTGGCTACACAGCGGCGGCGTGTGGCTACACAGTTGTGGCGTGTGGCTACACAGCTGTGGCGTGTGGCTACACAGCTGTGGCGTATAACGAAATGTCCATGTAGCATGGGCTAGACATTATTTTTCGCCAGGTTACTGAAGAGAGCCCGTCTTTGACCGCCATGTCGGCACACAAGGTAAATCACGCCGACAATCCAAATTGAAAATATCTTTTAAAACACCAGAGGATGCACAATAGGGGGCGAAACAAGGATTCAAATGCTACGGCATGACCTCCTCACATTCCCAGATATCCATGGAGAAACACTACAACCTACAATTGTGCTTTAAGTGTGAACACTTCACGAACTAATGGCCAGAGCAAGTAGCGAGAAACAGTTTGTACTCTAGTGCATACAAATTCCTAGAATGCACCGCTTCCACCAAACAATGTACACTCTGTGGTGAGCAACACACTGCCATCTCCCACCTCTACTCCAAAAGAAAGAAGGAAATGCATAATAAGTAGAACAAGACACATCAGTCCACGATTACTTCAAGACCAGCCGTTGCTACCTTGGCTCTAAGCCCAGGACACAGTCAACACAGAGTTGTAACAGCCAGCCACATCAACCATCAGTATGGAACTGATCAAAAATGCCAGCAAACACACCTTTAAGGCTAGAAACACCGTCAACCAACCATAACATCCATGTCCAGGTGATCACAGCATATACTGGCTAGGTAGCCAAGCAGGACCATAGTCTGTTCCTCAGGACAGTGACAGGCTTCTGGAACCTAACAAAATTTCGCCTATGTTAATTACAGATGCTGCCAGCCAGACAGGCACACCACCGATGACGACGACAAATGCAACCACCCAGACGGTACTAACAGCTGTATGAGTGACGACACAGCCACACTGTAAGAACAAGCAGTTACTTAAGATGCAGCTGACTTTTGTATCTCTTCTTATGAGGCATCTTATCTTGAGGTTATCTTGAAATGATTTCGGGGCTTAGCGTCCCCGCGGCCCGGGCCTCGATTAGACCTTTTTTTTTTGTTGCACACCCCCAGGAAGCAACCCGTAGCAGCTGTCTAACTCCCAGTTATCTATTTACTGCTAGGTGAGCAGGGGCATCACTGTGAAAGTAACTCTGCCCATTTGTTTCCGCCACCACCGGGAATCGAGTCCAGAACCTCAGGACTACGAATCCCGAGCTCTGTCCACTCAGCTGTCAGGCATCGAGAGAAGTCACAAATGTCTCCATCACCTCAACAGACTGTACATTATGTGAACCGGAACCCACAACTCAGTACCCGGGCCCAACTCCTAAGGACCTGGATGCCCTGATAGAGTATATCAAACGGTATCTTTCTGGCACCCCCAGTGACCAGACGCCGTACCACCCATAACCAGGTATATCTGAGAGGACTACTGACATATACATGAGGGAACATATCGAAAAAATACTCAAAGCCATCAGAGAGGAATGCAGCATCAAACTGTTGCACACATATATCATAGATGAAAAAATACTACGAACTTTACCCAGAAAATGATATGATATATCAAGTTTGTCAGGAACGGTCGGGGACTGAACGCCAACCTGCATGAAGCGAGACCATGGTTCTACCGTCCAGCCCAAGTGGTCTTTTTATGCAGCTGTAAGGTCGTTTTATTATTATTATTATTTTTTATCACAGATGTGGCCATTCGTTTCAATGATAATAAGCATATATACAAATGCTGGTTATAATTGAAGGCTCTAAATTACAGACCAGTGTCATTAGCTAGTACTCCATGTACTAGATAGAACATGGAGTACTAGTTCCATGTCCTCATATCCCAGCTCCTTCTCCTCGTATTCCAGCTCCTTGTCCTCATATCCCAGCTCCTTATCCTCATATCTCAGCTCCTCATATCGCAGCTCCTTCTCCTCGCATCCCTGCTCCTTCCCCTCGCATCCCTGCTCCTTCTTCTCGTATCCCGGCTCCTTCTTCTCGTATCCCGGCTCCTTCTCGTATCCCGGCTCCTTCTTCTCGTATCCTAGTTCATTCTCCTCGCATCCCAGCTCCTTCTCCTCGTATCTCAGCTCCTTTTCCTCATATCCCAGTTCCTTGTCCTCCTATCCATATTCCTGGTGCTGAGTGCATGCATATATAAGCTGTGTCTCCAGATAATATATGTATGCACAGAGTTTACCTTACTTCACAGCTTGAGTATACTTGCTTGGGGGTTTGAACTGCCAAGCATGGCCCAATCGGTTTATGTTCTTATTAAGTACTGTTATGATCCCAGGTAGCTGAGAAACGAGTCTACCTTGAGAGTTATTCTGCAAGACCTGACCTAAATAAGAGGTCAAAGAAATATAGACATGAAGATACATACGTAAAACAATTGGTTAAATTTGACAGACAGTTTAAGAATATGGGCAGTGAACAAGAACAGAAATGAATGACTTGACATGAGATGTGGAAAGTTTGCTGGAAGCATGAGGCTCGCTTCTGGAGGGCTTTGACCCCACTTGAGCACCAGACATCGAGAGGGGAAGCCGCGCTCCGTGTGAGCTCCTGTTAGAGAAGAACCCCTAGTACCCCTAGATGTACCTTCAAGAGGGAGAAAGTGTGCAGACGTTTCATCTGTGGAGTCAAGCTGGGAACGTGCGGGCTCAAGTCCTGGACGGCAGGAAGAGTTGTGAAGCCGTCCTGAAACATTTTCTTGGGCAGCCTTGGGAGCGTCCCGGTCAGGAGTCATCAAGGAGTTATCTCGCAAGAGACAATATTGTAGTAAGCCCAAATTTAACTAGTTAACAGTGATTGTCTGTAGTGGTTGTGTGCCCAGCGGCCGTATCAAGTGTTTATTGATATGTCAGGCATGTTTTGATAAGGCAGAAGGCCTAAATAAGTGAGTAAAGATCACTGGAGGGCGGAGCGTCATCCACCCCCTCCGACCGCTTGTGGGTGACTGAGGGAGCCTGAATGCTGGCGGAGGACCTGTTCGGCAGCGGCAGGCGAAGGAATCGCTCAGCAGGAGGCGGAGGATGGACCAGCCCAAACGTGGGGGAGTCCATACCCACGTTGTTCGGGAGACAGAGAGAGAGATATTGGGTGGAACATTGATTGTGTGGTTTATTTTGTTTATGTGTTTATAGAGGAACATTTTTATTGGCATATCGATGGGTTGCAGGTTTGTCCCGAGGAAGAAGTTGATGGGAGTGCTCTGAGGCCAGATAAGAAGTTGATGATTGGAACTTCAAGCCTGTAGGGGTAGATGTTGTACTCTGTGGAAGAGCAAGCCCCATAGTGAGGAATTGGACCTCATACTGTGAGAAGAGGAGCAGTGAAGTCACACATGTTTCTGTGGAAACGGTAGTAAAGTACCGCTGGAGTCCAAGGTGCAGCAGCCTGGAAGAGCTGCAGAGGATCCTGGTAGATAAACCTGGAAGAACCTGATGATGTCAGGTTAGTGAACTTACAGATGTGGGATGGAAGTTCTTGTTGCAACCAGGTCTGTTGGAAGTTGGTAGAGTGCTTGAATGTCGTTAGTGTCCAAGACGCAGTGAAAGGTGGGTAATTGATTATCATTTCTATGCTAAGGAATATTTATATTGAAGTTTAATGAATTAAAACTGTAGGCTGGATAACCTGCATATACATACATACATATATATATATATATATATATATATATATATATATATATATATATATATATATATATATATATATATATATATATATATATTATTAAATATGACCGAAAAAGTAAGATTAATAATTCTAACACGAATTTTCTCAATCTTTCGTACATTTCTTTTCACTGTTGGAGGTAATTCAAAATCAATTCTCCAAAATTCATTTTTATTTCTAGTCTGATGCGACACGAACGCGTTTCGTAAAACTTATTACATTTTCAAAGACGTTTCTCTTCCCATAACCAAACCATCGCCAGAGAAATCCTAGTAAACAACACAGAAATCATCGATAGATACAGCGATAGCAGGCGGCTTGACGTTTGCGAGGCACTACACATTAAGAAGTCAACACCAGCAATCAACAGCCAATTAATGCACAACTATATTCTACCCACCTCAAGACTCTGCTCCAATATAGAAGCATCAAGAAATATGGACCAATAGGCTTTCTACAATCACTTCCATTTCAATACCCATTGTTTCGTGTTCTGTCTTGTGTTGATGAAATTAATACCCTATTAATGCCACCTCTTGTTCTGTCTTGTGTTGATGAAATTAACACCCTATTAATGCCACCTCACCCCATCCATCTCACTCAAATGTAGATATAAACAAAATCGGAGATGCGTATGTTCTATTCAGTTGTGTATTTGTAAACTAAAGTCTTTGAAAATGTAATAAGTTTTACGAAACGCGCTCGTGTCGCGTCAGACTAGAAATAAAAATGAATTTTGGATAATTGATTTTTGAATTACCTCCAACAGTGAAAAGAAATGTACGAAAGATTGAGAAAATTCGTGTTAGAATTATTAATCTTACTTTTTCAGTCATATTTAATAATATATGTCTACAGGAAAGACTGCTACCAAAATATACTAATATATATATATATATATATATATATATATATATATATATATATATATATATATATATATATATATATATATATATATATATATATATATATATATATATATATATATATATATATATATATATTATTAAATATGACCGAAAAAGTAAGATTAATAATTCTAACACGAATTTTCTCAATGTTTCTTATATTTTTCTTCACTGTTGATGGTAACTGAAAAATCAATTCTCCAAAATTCATTTTTATTTCTAGTCTGACGCGACACTTGAGCGCGTTTCGTAAAACTTATTACATTTTCAAAGACTTTAGTTTACACAGACACAACTATAACTGAACAGAGCTTAAACATCTTCGATTTTATACCTGCATTTGGGTGAGGTGATATGTTACAACAGTTTTGGATGAGGTGAAAACAAACTTTAATCACAAGACAGAACACGAAACAATGGGAATAATATTTTGTAAGTTAAATCGAAGAATGGAAGTAACTGCAAAGGGCCTATTGGCCCATATTTCTTGATGCTTCTATATTGGTGCAGAGTCTTGAAGTGGGTAGAATATAGTTGTGTATTAATTGGCTGTTGATTGCTGGTGTCGACTTCTTAATGTGTAGTGCCTCGCAGATATCAAGCCGCCTGCTATCGCTGTATTGATGGATGATTTCCGTGTTTTTGTTAAGACTTCTCTGGTGATGGTCTGGTTGTGGGAAGAGATTATATGTTCCTTAATGGAGCCCTGTTGCTTATGCATCGTTAATCGCCTGGAAAGAGATGTTGTTGTCTTGCCTATATACTGAATTCTTTGAGGCTTACAATCCCCAAGTGGGCATTTGAAAGCATAGACGACATTGGTCTCTTTTAAAGCGTTCTGCGTTGTGTCTGGAGAGTTTCTCATGAGTAGGTTGGCCGTTTTCTTGGTTTTATAGTAGATCGTCAATTGTATCTTCTGATTTTTGTCTGTAGGGATAACGTTTCTATTAACAATATCTTTCAGGACCCTTTCCTCCGTTTTATGAGCTGTGGAAAAGAAGTTCCTGTAAAATAGTCTAATAGGGGGTACAGGTGTTGTGTTAGTTGTATCTTCAGAGGTTGCATGGCGTTTCACCTTCCTTCTTATGATGTCTTCAACGAAACCATTGGAGAAGCTGTTGTTGATTAGGACCTGCCTTACCCTACAGAGTTCTTCATCGACTTGCTTCCATCCTGAGCTGTGGCTGAGAGCACGGTCGACATAAGCGTTAACGACACTCCTCTTGTACCTGTCTGGGCAGTCACTGTTGGCATTGAGGGACATTCCTATGTTTGTTTCCTTAGTGTAGACTGCAGTGTGGAAACCTCTGCTCCTTTCCATGACTGTTACATCTAGAAAGGGCAGCTTCCCATCCTTCTCCATCTCGTAAGTGAAACGCAACACAGAATTCCGCTCAAATGCCTCCTTCAGCTCCTGCAGATGTCTGACATCAGGTACCTGTGTAAAAATGTCGTCAACATACCTGCAGTATATGGCCGGTTTCAAGTTCATGTCGACTAAGACCTTTTGTTCGATGGTACCCATGTAGAAGTTTGCAAACAGGACACCTAGGGAAGAACCCATGACGACCCCATCTACTTGCTTATACATGTGCCCATCCGGGCTCAAGAAGGGTGCCTCTTTAGTACAAGCTTGGAGTAGTTTCCTTAGAATGTTTTCTGGTATGTCAAGAGGAGTACAGGCCGGATCACGATACACTCTGTCCACTATCATCCCGATTGTTTCATCCACAGGTACGTTAGTAAACAGTGATTCTACGTCCAACGAGGCTCTTATCCCTGTGGCCTGCGTTCCCCGCAGTAAGTCAACAAAATCCTTTGGAGACTTCAGGCTAAAGGTGCAAGGGACATAAGGAGTCAGCAAGCCATTGAGTCTCTTCGCCAGTCTGTACGTTTATGTGGGTATCTGGCTAATGATTGGCCGAAGTGGGTTTCCAGGCATATGTGTCTTGACATTTCTATACACGTATCCAGGCTTATATTCCCCAATAATCTTTGGCAGGTGGAGTCCGAATTTCTTGGCGTTCACAGTTTCGATCAATTTGTTGACCTTTGCCTTCAATTCGACTGTAGTGTCCTTCGTTTCCCATTGGAATTTAGTTTGGTCAGAGAGAATGAGGTTCATTTTCACCAGATATTCATTTTTTTTAAGAATGACGTATTTTAGGCTCAAAGCTTTCATAAGAGATTCATATTGGTATATGAATGGATTATGAATGATTCATGTTAGGATTGTAAAAGTGTCGCAACGTTTCAAATTAGTGTTAGATACGTAGGTTTTGGTTAAAAGTTTTGGAAACCTATTTAATTCCACAGATAAAATCGTTTCAGATACGTGAAAACAAACGTTTCCAATCCTTTCAAACACTTTGCAGATATGTTGTGGCAACCTTAAATTGTTTACTGGGTTAAGGAGGAGGGCGAGGAGGAAGGAGGAGAAGGACGAGGGAGGAGAGCGATGAGGAAGGTCGAGGAGGACAGAGGAGGAGGAGGGCGAGGAAGGAGGTGGAGGAAGAAGGAGGGCAAGGAGGAGAAGGAGGAGGAAGAGGGCGAGGAAGGAGGAGGGCAAAAAGGAAAGAATAGGAAGTCGAGGAGGAAGGAGGAAGAGGGCGAGGAGGAAGGAGGAAAAGAAGGGGGGCGAGGAGGAAGGAGGAAAAGAAGGGGGGCGAGGAGGAAGGAGGAAAGAGGAGGAGAGCGAGGAGGAAGGAGGAAGAGGGCTAGAAAGAAGGAGGAGAGCGAGGAGGAGAGTAAGAAGGAAGGTATAGCAGGTCGAGGAGGAAGGAGGAAGAGATCCAGGTAAGAGGGTGAGGTCGAGGAGAAAAGAGGAGGGCGAGAAGGAGGAAGGAGGAGGAGGAGGAGAGTGAGGAGGAAGGAGGAGGTTTAGGGCGAGGAGGGAGAGGAGGAGGCGGAAGAGGAGTAAGGAGGAGGCGAGAAGGAAGGAGGGGCGGGCGAGAAGGAAGGAGGGGGAGGGCGAGAAGGAAGGAGGAGGTCGAGGAGGAAGGAGGAGAGAGGAGTAGGAGGACGAAGAGGAAGGAGGAGGGTGAGAAGGAAGGAGGAGGAAGGAGGAGGAGGAGGGCGAGGAGGAAGGATGAGGGCGAGGAGGAAGGATGAGGGCGAGGAAGAAGGAGCAGGAAGGAGAATGGAGGAGGAGAGCGAGGAGGATGGATGAGGAGGAGGAGGGCGAGGAGGAAGAAGGAGGAGGAAGGAGGAGGAGCAGGGCGAAGAGGGAGAGGGAGGAGGAGGCGGGTGAGGAGTTAAGAGGAGGGCGAGAAGGAAGGAGGAGGAGGACGAGAAGGAAAGAAGGGAAAGGAGGAAGGAGGAAGAGGGCGAGGAGGAAGGAGGAGAAGGAGGGCGAAGAGGAAGGAGGAGAGCGAGGAGGACGGAGGAGCAAAGCGAGGAAGAAGGAGGTGGAGGAAGAAGGAGGGCAAGGAGGAAGAAGGAAAGCAAGGAGGAAGGAGGAGGAGGAGGGCGAGGAGGAAGGAGGAGGGTAAGGAGGAGGAGGGCGAGGAGGAAGGAGGAGGGTAAGGAGGAGGAGGGCGAGGAGGAAGGAGGAGGGTAAGGAGGAGGAGGGCGAGGAGGAAGGAGGAGGAGGGCGAGGAGGAAGGAGGAGGGTAAGGAGGAGGAGGGCGAGGAGGAAGGAGGAGGAGACCGAGGAGGAAGGAGGAGGAGGCCGAAGCGGAAGGAGACGGAGGAAGAAGGAGGGGAAAGAGAAAGGAGGAGGAGGAGGGCAAGGAAAAAGGAAGGCCAGGAGGAAGGAGGAGGAACGAGGAGTAGGGCGAGGAGGAGGAGAGCGAGGAGGAAGGAGGAGGGCGAGGAGGAAGGAGCAGGAAGGAGGAGGGCGAGGAGGATGGAGGAGGAGAGCGAAGAGGAAGGAGGGGGAGGGCGAATAGGAAGGAGGAGGCCGAGTAGGAAAAAGGAGGCCGAGTAGGAAGGAGGAGGAGGGCGAGAAGGAAGGAGGAGGAAGACGTAGAGGAAGGAGGAAGAGACGAGT